AAAAAAAAAAAAAAAAAAAAACCCAAAAAAAAAAAAAAAAAAAAAAAAAAAAAAAAAAAAAAAAAAAAAAAAAAAAAAAAAAAAAAAAAAAAAAAAAAAAAAAAAAAAAAAAAAAACGTTGGCAATCCGATCGGTCCCCAATCCGACCCGACGTCGCGAGATCCGCTCTAGCTCGGGCCCGCCCAGCGGCCTCGGAGCAGGGCGCCGGCGCCTCCCGCCAATCTCGGCACCCGGAGAGGCCACGGCCCTGGGCCCCGGGGGGGGCGGGGCCCTCAGAGTCAGGAGGGGGAAAAGCACACAGGCATAAATGAATCGCCGATCCCGAGGCCAAAGATATGGGAAACTTTGGGAAAGATGGCGGGGAAGACGAACATCCGGAACATAGGAGGAGGAAAAGCATCCGACGAAGGCATCTATACACCACCCCCGCGCCAGGCCAGGGCCATCCTGGGCCGTAGGATGGTGTATAGACCCTCCTGGCTCGGCCAGGAGGGCGTATACACCATCCTGGGGCCCAGGATGGCCCTGGCCTGGCACGGTGATGGTGTAATTATAGATGCTTTCTGCGTAAAGCACACAGGCACAGATGAACCGCCGATCCCAAGGCCAAAGATATGGAGAACTGGCTGGGAAATATGGAGGGGACGACGAACATCCAGAAAATAGGAGAGAAATGTCCAGAAAAAAAGCGAAAAGATTGGGAGTCCTGGGATGTGTGGCTATTTCTTTGCGTGTCCCAGGGCCCCTCTTCGGCGAGGGCGGCCCTCTCGGCGGAAGATCCGCCGCCGGGGGCGGGGCCGAGCTGCCACGGGGGTCCCGGCGCCGAGGAAAAGTTCAAGCCTCGGAGACCCGCCCAGGGCAGGTTCGCGTCGTGTCGACCGGCGGCGACCCCAGGGCGTGCGTTTAAGCTTGAACGCCACCCGTGGCCCAGGAACGGCCGATCGTTCAAGTTTGAACGATCCCCGCAGTGTCAGGAACCAACGCCGGGGTCAACACGACGCGAACCTGTCGCAGGCCAGCGACGGGATCATGCTCGCCTACTTGGCTCACCGCGGTGGATGCTGAGTGGCCGGGGGGGCTACAGGTGGATGCTAAGGTGGGTTATATCGAATTCAGGCGGTCGCAAACATGCATCAAGGGGGCGTGGATTAGCGACGGGTCCCGCTTCCATGGATAATCGCGGGTTTCCGCCGCCGAACGAGGCGGCACCGGCCGCATTTCGGGGAGGGCACCTCCCCCGATCCATGGATTTGGCGATCGCGCGCCAAATCCATGGAACGCTACTCCATGCTTGCGCGCCCCCGACTACTGGCCTTCGGTCGGCCCATCCCGCCATCGTGCCTGGGCTATGGGTGTAAAGCCTGTTGGATGTTTGTTGGGATCTCGTGGGGGGCGTCTTCGGGGGCCTCTTGGAAGCAGTTTTGAAGCCCCTCGGGGGCCGTTGGGGCCTCTTGGGGCCTCGTTTGGTCCTCTGGGTGGCCTCTGGGGGGCCTGTTGGGGCCTCTTGGGCGCCTCGTGGGGTCTCTTGGGGGCCTCTTGGGGCGGAAGGCTCGGATTTGGGGTGCGTGTTCCCGCTCTTGGGCCCCTTTGGGGGCAGTCTTGGGGCTCTCTTGGGCCGTCCTAGGCACCTCTTGAGCCGTCTTGGGGCTTAGGCCGTCTTGGGGCACGCTTGGAGGCCTCGTGGGCCGTCTTGGGGTGGGTTGGGGTGCCTCTTGGGCCATCTTGGAGCGTCGAAAAGCCCAACAGGCGAAAACGCGAGAATCTGTCAAAAACCTTTGGAATATCAAGATGTTTGCCTCTTGGAGCCATCTTGGGAGGCCTCTTAGAGGCCTCTTGTGGTGTCTTGGAGGCCTCTTGGGCCATCTTGGGGCCATCTTGAGCATCTTGGGGCGATGTTTGGGCGACTTGAGGCCCTCTTTGACCACTTTGGGTGCCTCCTGGAGCCACCTGGGCTCGCTTGGGGTGGGGGCCCTCCTGGGCGGGGCAGGCCGACGCGAGCGAGTCCGGCAGGCCCCAGGCTGGCCCGGGCCGGCCCGGGAAACGATCGGTCCAGGCCCTTCAAGACGTACAATTCTGGCTACAGCAGCAGCAGCAGCAGCAGCAGCACAGCCCTCTCAGTGCTGCATGATCCTTGGGGGCTCCACGTCGTGCCGGAGGCACGGTGGCGCACATGGCCGACCCTAGCTTACAAGTGGGTCAGAAGTGCCCTAAGTGGCTTAGGGGGGAAGGATCTGGGCTAAGTGGGCTCCGCCTATTCCGAGCGTTTTGTAGGCGCGGCGAATTTATCCGTGGATCCACTCTGGTCAGCTACAACGCTGGGATCAGCGCGTGCGAGAAAGGCGGGCAGTGGCAGCTGGCTCTATCCTTGCTTAGCGAGCTGCGGGCGACGATATTGGAGGCAGATGTCATCAGCTACAGTGCTGGGATTAGTGCTTGCGAGAAGTATGGGCAGTGGCAGCACGCACTGTCTGTATTCAGAGACATGGTTGAGAGAAAGGTGGAGCCAAACGTTTTCAGCTATAGCGCCAGCATCAGCGCGTGCGAAGCTGGCGAATGATGAAAACGGGCGTTGCTTTCCTTCACGGAGTTGTGGGATGTATTATCGAGCCAGGGCGCAGCTACGAGCTCAAAATGCGGCGTGCTGGAAGAGCGAGCAGCTGCTGTGGGCGCTTGCTGCTCAACGGTGTGGTAGGCCTCAGACGTGATCGGATCGGCAGCACTCGCTGGTCGTGAACGGCAGCTCGCGATGGTGGACGTGATCGGCAGCACTCGTCGGCCGCTGAGAGTCAGCATCTGGTGGCCGTCGGCGCGTCCCGCCACCGCGCCCGGGTTCTGGGCCAGAGTCCTCTTGGATGCCTCTTGGCGTCTCGTGAGGCGCCTCTGGGAGACCTCGTGTGCGCAACCGTCGGCTGCTGAGAGTAAGCATCCAGTGGCCCTCGGCCCCTCCCGTCATCACCGTGCCTGGGTTGTCGGTCAGAGGATCCTTGGATGCTTGCGAGGATCTATTGGGAGACCTCTCGGAAGTCTCTTGGGTGTGGTTTTTGGGGGTGTTGGGGGACGTCTCGGGGGCCTGATTTGGGCCTCTCGGGGCACGTCAGGGACCTTTGGGGCAGCGTGGGGCCAGCTTGGGGCGGAGGACCCAACATGTCGGTTCGCGTGTCCCCCTCTTGGGCCCGTCCTGGGGATGTCGTCTTGGGGGCTCTCGGGCCGTTCTTAGCCGATCTTGGGCGCCTCGTGGGCCGTCTTGGCTTGGACACTCTGAGAACCACGATTCGGGCCTCCTTGGCCGCCCTCTAAGGCCTCCAGAACGACCCAGGAGGCGCCCAAGAGGGCTCTAGGACGGTCCTCGGGGCCATCTTGGGCCATGTTGGACATGCATGTCCCGAGCAACGCCCTCTTGGCCTCTGGAAACGTCACGCGGGGAACCCCAGCCAGCACCCAAGAGCGCCCGGGAGCGCCCGGAACTCGGGGCCGCGGGCCCTTGAACGAGCATCTACAATACTCCATCCGCGAGGTTTTCGCTTCTTTACAACATCTTCGTGAGGACCTCTCTCCCTTCGCGCCGCCCCTCGCGGACTCGGCCTGGGTGGCTATATTCATTCCCTCCTCCTCCTCCTCCTCCTCCTCCTCCTCCTCCTCCTCCTCCTCCTCCTCCTCCTCCTCCTCCTCCTCCTCCTTCTCCTTCTCCTCCTCCTCCTCCGCCTCCTCTTCATTCGTGCTGCATGGTGCGTTGGATGTACTAGCGTGGCCGTTTGAGACGCCTGGTAGAGGTTTAAACAAGGCTGTTATGCAGCTGCGGGGCCGATACGTATCCGAGGGAATTCGTATTATTCGCCATTCGGGCTTCCGCTTGTTTCTTCCTCCTCCTCCCCTTTTCTCTGGCAGCCGATCTGTTTGTTGTAGGTTGGCATGGGCCAGGGTTTAAGCAGCTGGTGTGCTTGACATCCGTATTGTGCAACTACGCTGCCCACTCTGCTCCCTTGTCCTCATCGTCCCCCTCTCCTCCTTCCCTCCCCCCGCTCTGTCTCCTTGCTCTGTGTGGGAAGGAAGGGAGGGAGGGAGGGAAGAAAGGAGGAAGAAAGAGGAGAGAAGGAGGAAGGAGAGAGGAGGAAGGAGGAGGATGGAGGAGAGAGGGAGGGAGGAGAGAGAGAGAGAGAGCGAGGGAGGGGCTGGGTAGAGAGGAGAAGAGTGGAAGGAGGAGAAAAAGGAGGGAGGGAGGGAGGAGGGAGGAGGCGCAGCAGGAGGAAGAGGAGGAGGAGGAGGAGGAGCAGCTGGAGGAGGAGGAAAAGGACAAGGGCGGCAAAGGACGAGGAGTGGAGTGGAGTGGACGCCATGCCGAGGTCATGTCAAAGCGCTGCCTCCCCCCCCCCGAGCTCCACGGGCACCACGACGATGAGGCCGAGCGCCACGACGATGAGGACAGAGACGCTCCGCTGCGAGACAACATGACCGTTCACATTAGTGCGCAACGAATATATCCAAGGAATGTGACATGTATCACGCCTGTGAAGCCCACGATAACGCGCATGCTCCTCCAGCCAAGAAAGCCCGATAGCAGAGTGAGGGACATAAGATACACATATAACGACACCTACTGCACAACAAACTTGCATAATGCCGAAGCTCTGATGCAGGTAGGCGGGGGCGCGCCTCCTGAGAACTCTGTTACACTCCTTCTGCAACGCTGCACGGAAGTGTACGGTGACGCTGAAAATGTCCTTTGAGCGAGGATTGCGCCATCAGCACCCAGAGAAGCTTGTTGTTTTGCCCAGGCGCCGCCATAGGCCGACGCCGCAGCAGGACGAGCATCCTCCTTCGCCGACCCCTCCGCCTCGGCCGTCGCAGTGGCTGCACTGCCGCCTGCGCTGCCCTGCGAACCCCGCTGCTCCGAGGCCCTCAGCCTCGCTGCAGCCGCGGTTGCCCGCGGAGCTGCCGCTGTGCCCGCCACCCGTCGCCGTGGCCACGGGGCGGGTGTGTCAAGTGCCCGGGCCGTGCCCGTGTGGCTCCCCCCCATCTCCCCTGGCGGCCGCCGCAGCCACAGACGCATCGCTGGCAGCAGCACCTGGAACTCCATGAGAGCACGGGGAGGCCGATGGGGGCTGCACCGGCGGCGGGAGCTTCGGCCCCAGCTCCAGGAGCCTCGCGAGCACTTCCTGCGGCGCGAGGGGCGTGGGCCACGGCGGCCCCCAGCAGGGTCGGGCGGCGGCCCCCATGTGGCGCACGTCGTGGAAGCCGCGCGCAAAAGCGCCTGCGCGGCACGAAGCTGCGCCCGAGAGGCCTGCGCCCTCCGCGTCCCGGCCGAGCGCCGGGGGCGGCCCGAGGTGCGCCGGGGGCGGTTCCGTGCCGAGATCGCGGGAGGGCGAACGGGCGCGAGGGGGAGGCCGGCGGCGCGGGCCGCCTGGCGTGGGCTCGCGAACCCGTGAGGGCTCGGTCCGAGCTGGATGAAGAGAGGGGGGGGAGCATTTTTTTCCTCAATATCATCCAGTTCGTCAGGTTTGCTCAAATGCGTACCGAATGCATGCTGTCGTGTCCAAGCCTGCCGTCGTAAGGCCCAGTGTAGGCCCAAGACGCGTCACCGGCGTTGCAACACACACTCGCTCCAAGTTCCCTCCTCGTAGGTCCTGGCAAGAGCGTATTTCCACTGCTGGAAGTGCCCCGTTGGGAGGCAACCGTCTGAGAAGCCGACATCATGCCACAGCACCATTCCTTGGACTTCAATGCCGCGAATCAACTGTAATGAAACGTCCTGGCGGCCTGCATCGTGCCAGGCCACCATGCCTGGGATTTGAACCCCTCGAATCAACGTGATTGACGCGCCCTGGCAATGCTATTTTGTGCCGGAACACCGTTCTTGGGACGTCAACCATAAGAATGTACTAAACAGATGCGAATATTCAAGACGATTGCGTGCGGCGTTTATGCGAGAACCACATTATGATCAAGAGCCCTTCTCCAGATGTGAAGCACTGTACACTTGTAAGACGAATGCGCGCGGCGCTGAAGCGAGAGCCACATGTTGCAAACCGCCCGCCCTCCATCCGCAAAATTGCTGCAAACTTTTACGACGAATGCGCGCGGTGCTAAGGCGATAGCCACATTTTCAAAATCAGCCGGCCTCCTCTGCAAACTTATATGACGAATTCGCACGGCGCTAATGCGAGAGCCACATTTTGAAAATAAACCACCCAACATCCGTTAGATTGCTGCAATCATTTAAGACGAATGCGCGCGGCGCTGAGGCAAGAATCCCATTTTGAAAGGACCCGCCCTCCATCCGTGAAAGTGCTGCAAACTTGTAAGACGAATGTGCGCGGCGCTAGGGCGAGAGCCACATTTTGAAAAGGAATCACCCTTCATCCGCGAAACGGGCCCCAACTTTCAAGACGAATTTGCGCGGCGTTATCTCGAGAGCCACATTTTGAAAACGGTCCGCCATCCACCATCCGTGAAGCTTCTACAGACTCTCAAGACGAATGCGCGCGGCGCTAATGCGAGAGCAACATTTTCAAGACGACCAGCCCTCCACCCGCGAAGTTGCTGTTAACGTTTACGGCGAGTGCGTGCGGCGCTGAAGGCAGAGCCACATCTTGAAACCGGCCCGCCCAAGCTCAAGGGTTATAAAGGTTATAAAGTTCAAGGGTTACAAAGCTCAAGGGTTATGAAGGTTATCAAGCTCAAGCCGTGAAACTGCTGCGCACTTCAAGCTCGAGGGTTCTAAAAGCTCAGGACGCCTCTGGCGACACGCCCGGCCCGCCCCACTGACACGTCTCGGGGTGCGACAGGGGGGAGCTATATTCACGAGGAACGGGGTGGAGGAGGAGGAGGAGGAGGACGAGGAGGAAGAGTAAGAGGAGAAGGAGGGAGGGAGGAGGAGAAGGAGGAGGAGGAGGAAGAGAAAGAGGAGGGAGGAGGAGGAGGAGGAAGAGGAACGGGGTGGAGGAGGAGGAGGAGGAGGAGGAGGAAGAGGAAGACGAGGGAGGGAGGGAGGGATCTCTCCCCCTCCCCCTCCCTCGCCCGCCGCCGCCTGCCCCGCGCCGAGAGGCACATCCCGAGGTGCGCGGCGAAGGCTCACGTCGGCGAGGAGCGCCCCCTGCGGCAGCCCGGCGAGCGTTGACAGTTCTGATCTGCACCCGGGGCCCGCGATGATGGTGTTGGTTTCCGCCTCTCCCCGAGGTCATTGCCCCCCTCTGCACCAGGTGGACGGCTATTGCCAGACTCCCTTCGTTCGAATCCCTCGGCCTTCCTATTCCTCCTCCTCCTCCTCCTCCTCCTCCTCCTCCTCCTCCTCCTCTTCCTCCTCCTGCTCTCCTCTTCCTCCCTTCTTCTTCCTCCTCCTCCTGCTCCTCCTCTTCCTCCTCCTCCCCTCCTCTCCTCCTCCTCCTCCTCCCCTCCTTCTCCTCTCCTGCTCCTGCTGCTCCTCCTCCTCCTCTTCCTCCTCCTTTCCACTTCCTCCTCCTCCTCCTCCGCCTCCTCCTATTCTCCTTCATCTCTTCCTCCTCCTCCTTCCTCCTCTCCTCCTCCTCCTCCTCCTCCTCCTCCTCCTCCTCTCCTCCTCTTCCTCCTCCTCCTCCTCCCCTCCTCCTCCTCCTCCTCCTCATCACTCCTCATCCTCCTCCTCCCTCCCTTTGTCCTCTCTCCTCCTCCTCCCTCTACCTCCGTCATCCCTCTCCTCTTCCTGTCCTCCTCCTCCTCCTCCTCCCCCTCCCCCTCCCCCTCCTTCTCCTCCTCCTCCTCCTCCTCCTCCTCCTCCTCCTCATCCTCATCCTCCTCATCCTCCTCACTCTCCTCTTGGAGTGGAAAAGGCCGATGACGAAGTCGGACCAGCCCTGAAACCTGAGTATCTTCAGGATCCAGCTATGAGCCATGGAGACAAACGCTGTGCCATAGTCCATCGCCAGGCTGGCGGGGAGAAGGCTGCCAGGTGGTCAAAACGACGCCTGCACCATATAGGCTTCCAGCTCAACGACATTGTCCGTGAATTCGCGGTGCTTCACGAAGCCCCGCCGCTCGCTCGGAGCTTGAGCCGAGAAGGACGGATTCATCGTGAACGTCAAACCCCTGGCGATCGTTTTAGCATCGGCGTTCCGGCCGCTGAGGGGCGAAGATTGTCGGGAGAGCGCACAATTTAAATCAGGTCATTCTCGTTGTGTGTTTTTTTGGCGGAGTGGCGAGCGAAAATATGCAACGGCACGGTACGGCAAGATGCCACGATAGCATAGTTCCGCCACCTCGGCAATTGCTTCTTTGACCGTGGAGTTAGGGAGAGTTTGTTATGGTATGCCATCGGGTTCAGGGACAGAACGGCCTCTGCGCTTAAGGTTTTTACGCATGGTAGACAGACGTGTCTAGAGGACGCATCCCTCCAAAATCCCATCGGCGCCCATGTTGCTCTAGAAGCTCGTCTTGGGCGTCCAGGGAAGCCTCATGGGCCCGAAATTGCTGCGCCCAGGATTTGTGGATGATCTCCTATTGTTTCCCAGAGTCACGCTCGATGCGGGAGTCGCCGGTGCCAGAAGCGACCTGCACGCTGGCGAGATGACTGAATTTGGCAGCGGAGGACCACAGACTGCGGTGGCGTGAGTTGCGGCTCTTTCGCGAACGAGGAGAGGACGGGCGAGGCGAGGGCAGCCCAGACGTAGGACGGCCAAGTTCAGCAAGCTCCTCCGCTTCCGGCATCGCGAATTGCTTGTTTCTGTTGCAGCGGGCACGGCAACCTCGAACATGTGTAGGATCTCTCAGGCGGATGTGGCCTTGGAATACATCCGCATGTCGTAGGGCGTCTGGCTGGTGAAGCGCGAGCTTGTCATATGAGTGAAAATCATTCCTCCAAACGCACTGGGATGCAGTTGCAAGAGTCATCAGCATGGTCCAAGTGGATCCCCATTGTTGTAGTAAGGCGTTGAGGCACAGCCTTCGCTGCAAGAAGCTTGTCGGCTCCACGGAAGACATTGGCGTATTGCATCCAATGCTTCGCAAGTATGTGGAACACGGGGCTCTTAGCAACATCCGAGGGGATGCGTAATTAATGAACGGGGGCAGGTCACGGTCATCTTGGTTGACGGCGTCTGGGTCCCGAGTTTCATCATCATCATACATATATTGGTGTCATGCATGTTGACCCGTTCAGATCGATCTTCTTCATCTCTCTGCAAAGACCCCTTGGTCCTCGGCCTCCGCGCAGTTGTTCCCGGCAAGGCTATTTTAGAATGAGCGCAGACGATGTGGGAATTTGTTTAGTGAAAATTTCGCGCTCTGACTCTCATCAGCGACCTGTATGCCTGGGTCAAGCGCGCGACCGGCTTGGCTGAAGAGCGCAAGAAATTCAGACTGCCGCCGACAGGGTCTTGTGCTCAACCTTCCCTGGTGGTTCTAAGTCGGGACTGGATTAATCTGCACGTGCCAGATTGGGCAACGATGCGCATTGCGCCATTGTGTTGGGACAGGGTGGGGGAGCTACGCAATGGACAAAACCTACCACCAAGTTCTGGCATCGCCTTTCTCTGGTAGAGTCAGCACACGAGTCCATGACGCAAGACATCCTCGAAAACAGCATCCGCACCCGGACAGGCTTCAGCTACAGGTTGCAATCCGTGGATCCGCCCGCTCTGCGGGTCCACCGCCGGGACCCCACGATCGCCCAGCTGTTCAGGCTTCCACGCGAGGCTACTCCCCCGAGGGGCAGGCTTCCACCTCGACCAACTGGGTTTTCCGAGGTACACCGCCGATCGAGTGCTGAGGGCCTGTCCATCAGGACCCGCCTCGCCCCGACGACTTGCACCTCCCGTTTGGGAGCGCTGGCCGCCACGGGGGCTCCAGCAAAGAACCACATGGGCGTCGAGCACGTGATCGGCTCCCTCACGCACGAGTGGTGGAAGTCCCCGCTGTTGGTCCTGAATCTCGAGCGCGCTGCACATGTCCATCCTTCGTGGCAGCGCCGTTGTGTTGGACATACTGCAGCGGTCTGCCGCGATTGGCGGGCTGGGAGCTTACCGCGCGTCATGTTGTCCACCGCTCTGTCCAGGCGGTTGCACTACAGGAGTGGTGGATATCCGATTGGCTGGCCCTGATTTTGCAGCGCTGGCAGAGCTTCACAAACGGCAACACATTATCCATTGTTGATGCTGCTGCTGGTATTGCAAGCCTCCGGTCTGTCTCTCGGTTGCAACGCACACTCATCCTGAGGATTTGTTGCCATGCCTGGTCCACCACTCGTCGGATGCACGAGCCTGTTCGTCATGCGTGCTACATGTGCGAATTCACTCATGCGGACCAGCGGCGTCATCTCAAGTGCGACATTTTCTGGCGGCTCTTCGTGGAGTGGCCCTGATCATCTCCCCCATTCGTCTCGGGAGCGACAGGGGAGGCCCTCGAAGTTGAGTCTGTTGCGCACGGCTGCCTCCCGCAAGGTATTCCACACAATGAAGACCATTTGAGTAGGGGAGTTCGACTGCCCGCTGCGCGCCACAGCGCGGTCTGCGCCACGTGCCGCGCCCGCTCTGAGTTTTCCACAACCAACCTGTGATGTTGGGTCCTCGTTTTGAAGAGGCAGCGCCCCGCGTCCCTCCTCCTCCTCCTTCTCCTCCTCCTCCTCCTCTCCTCCTCCTCCCCCTCCTCCCTCCTCCCTGCGTTTCACACAGCCACCACCCAGCACAGCCCTCGTTTCACCCACCCAGTACAGCGCTCCGTGGCCCCATAGGGAGCTCCACCGAAGGTCCCAGTGGGACCGCCCGCATGCGTCAGCCACCACCCAGCACAGCCCTTGCTCCCTGCGTTTCGCCCACCAGTACAGCGCTTCGTGGCCCCATAGGGAGCTCCACCGAATGCCCTTGTGGGACCGCCAGCATGCGTCAACAACCACCCACCACAGCCCTTCCTCCCCGCGTTTCACCCACTTAGTACAGCGCTTCGTGGCCCCATAGGGAGCTCCACCGAAGGTCCCAGTGGGACCGCCCGCATGCGTCAACCATCACCCAGCACAGCCCTTCCCTCCCGCGCTTCACCCACTTAGTGCAGCGCTTCGTGGGACCGTAGGGAGCTCCACCGAAGGTCCCAGTGGGGCCGCCCACAGCGTTAACCATCACCCAGCACAGCTCTTGCTCCCTGCATTTCGCCCACCCAGTACAGCGTTTCGTGGCCCCATCGGGAGGTCCACTGAGGGCCCTACTGGCATCGCCCGCATGCGTCAGCCACCATCCAGCGCAGCGCTTCGTGGCCCCAGAGGAGGCTCCACCGAAGGTCCCAGTGGGACCGTCCGCATGCGTCATCTACCACTAGTACAGCGCTTCGTGGCACCATAGGAAACTTCACCGATGGTCCCAGTGGGACCGCCCGAATGCGTCAGCCACCATCCAGTACATCGTTTCGTGGCCCCATAGGGAGCTCCACAGAAAGACCCCATTTGCACCGCCTGCGTGCGTCGTCCACCACCCAGTACTCCAATTCGTGGCCCCATTGATTGGGAGCTCCACCAAGCCCAGTGGCACCTCCCGCATGCCCCCTCCCCCACCCGGTAAAGCGTTTCGTGGCCCCGTAGGGAGCTCCAGTGGCCCGCCCACATGCGACCCCCCACCTGGTACAGCGTTTCGTGGGCCCATAGGGAGCTCTTCCGAAGGCCCCAGGGGCACCGGCCGCATGCGCCCCCCCCTCCCAGTACAGCTTTTCGTGGCCCCATAGGGGGCCCCACCGAAGCCCCCACTGGCACGCATGCGTCGGCCACTACCCAGCACAGCGTTTCGTGGCCCCGTAGGAAGCTTCACAGAAAGACCCCAGTGGCACAGCCCGCGTGCGTCTCCCCCAACCAGTACAGCGTTTCGTTGCCTCATCGGGAGCTCCAGCGAAGGGCACCGCCCGCCTGCGTCCGCCACGCCCAGTACAGCGTCTCGTGGCCCATAGGGAGCCCCACCGAATCCCCCACCCATTACGGCACGTCCCTCACGCGTTTCGTGGCCATATAGGAAGCTCCACCGCAAGCGGCACGCACAACGCGTTACTCACAACCGCACATGGCCGGGTCGCTCGTCAGGATAATTTTTCTGAAGTGCTGCGGAACTGCCCCCCCTGATCCGTGATCCTCCTCCTCCTCCTCCTCCTCCTCCTCCTCCTCCTCATCATCATCATCATCATCGTCATCATTATCATCATTATTATCATTATCATCTTTCATCATCCCTCCCCATCCTACCTCCTCCTCCTACACTCCTTGTCTTTATGAATAACTCCTCCCCGTCGCACCCTGAGGCCAGCCGGAAGGGCGGGCCGGGCGTTTCGCCGATTTCCTTCCATTTATGACCCTGAAGCCTCAAAAGTGGCAACACCTTCGCAGATGGAGGACGGGTCGCTTCCAAAATGTGGCTCTCGCCTCAGCGCCGCGTATATTCGTGTCAACAAGTTGCAAGAGTTTTACGGATTGATAGCGGGTGGTTTTCAAAATGTCGTTCTCGCCTTAGCGCCGCGCACATTCGTTGTAAGCATTTGCAAGAGTTTCACGGTTTCTCATGGTTTACGTATCAAACATGGTCTGTTGGAACGATTGGAGATTCTCAGGGCACAACGTCACGTTGATTCGGATGGTTGAAATCCCCAGAACAGCGTTCGGGAACGATTCAGGATCGTCAA